CTTCAAGTATCCATTGCTCGAATGGCGAACTGGCGGGTAGCATAACGGCCTTGCCCTTGTTCCTGGGCGAAGGGACCGCGCTCCGCCCTCTTAGAGAGGTAGGAGTGGTTTTCGTCCCTGGCTGGGAAGTCTGGGCCTCGGCCGTAGGGAACGAGAGGCGACTGTGCACGCTCGGTTCCTTGCCGCCGAGTCGGTCGAGGACGCTTCGGCGAACAGTCTCAGGTTGTTCTCGGTGAGTAGATTCTGGCCGAGAAGCTGAGTTGTTGCTCTTATGCGTTTCTGGTCGGGAGGTTGAGGATCCTTTGAAAAATTGAGGGTTCTTTTTCCTCTCTTTTTCAGTATTCCAGGTATCCTCTTCCCACTCTTCCAGTTCCCGGAAGGAAGGAAGCTTCCCACCATCATGGTCTAGCTTCCTCCGTTGATGCCGGGTATGCGGAGGAGTTCGATCACGAGGTGGTGGCATATTTTGTGCCCTCATTGCCTCCATGAGCACTGCCAGCGCTCTTGCCACCTCCTCCGAGCTGGGCCCCGTCAAAGGGGTCCTCGGCCGAGTATGGGAATGAGAGCGCACAGTCGATGGTTGGCTTTGGGGCACTGAATGTGTCCTATGATCGGACTCACCCCTGCTAGACCGAGAGTGACTCAGCCTATGATGAGAGTTATGAATTACGGGAGAAAGGGAATCCTCCCTGTATGATCCTCCCCCCGAGCTGGCACCCTTGGGAGAGTTCCGGTCCGGCGAGGGTGATGGTGTAGGGGTTTTAGGCTTTTCGCCTGCTCCTTGATGGAGGCCTTTGCTCTTGTGGTTCTTAGCTATTGCTACTAAGATAATTGCAAGATGATCTTGGTTAGAAATTTGGCTTAAAGATTTTTGAAAGTCCTCCCCACAGACGGCGCCAAATTGTTTCGGGTGAAAACAATGGGACCTTGTCGAAGGTCCGATGAAGTGGAGAAGACTGGATTCGGTCCAAGTGATGTTGGGCCGAAGATTTCCTGCACAGTAAACACACGTAAACTAGCCTCGGGGGTGTTGCCGAGGAAGGCCCCTCCGATGCTAAAGTCAGTACAGTGTGTAGAAAGAGAACACTATGCAAGAGAATTAATTGCTTGAGGCTTTGCTTGAATGAATGTACAAATGTAATATTGATGGCTTTTATACCTTTGCATATATGGAGAAGTTGGGCCTTAGCCCAATTGGCTTGCCTTGAGGACTGATCTTTGACTTTAGCACAATTGGAGAGATGAACCTTGACCTTGGGCTTTTAATTGGATCATTTAATGCCTAGGCCCAATTGGACTAAATTGGACCCAAACAATAAGAATGATAACTATGATACCTACAACAAAAATGATGTAACAAAGGTTTCTAAGGGGTCGGACCGACCATCACCCGTGTTAAACCCTGAGGGTACTATTATAGCTGCTTCCAAGCATTTCTCTTCGGCTCATAAGGTTCGATTATGACAATATTGAGGTTTATTTTGATGGGGAAGAAGGCTTATAATGCGTCACTGAGGCTTTTCTTGGTAGTTATTGTTCATTCTTAGCTTGTTGTTGTTCTTGGTAATATATGTTTGAATCATGGTTCAAGAGAGTGAACTTTAATTTGTATATATTTGTAACTGAATGAAGAAAGGATTGGAGATTTTAGTTTCTTTTTATTGTGTAAGATAATTATGTAGTTTTTTTTTTAAGCAAAAGTTAATTATGTAATTAGTTGATGCCTAATTGAATCAAAGATCAAGCTAAGCTATATCAAAGGGCAAAAAAAACTGGCTCACGATTGATCGAACTTGAGGTTAACCAAAGTCGATTATGTTCTAAATTTTTTGTAAGGTTAAAACTCTTTCATTTTTCTTATTGTAATTCCAATTCATTATAAAATGTCATACATTATTAATTAATAAAACCAAGTTATTAATTTTTTCATAACTAGGGCAGCTAACGCGCGCGATGCGGGCGCATAGCTAGTCATATCTAGAAGCTCTTTCAGCTTGGTCTTAAAATCACAAATTTAGCTGTTGGCAGAATTAATCACAATAAATATGTAAACAACTATGTTTATGGGTATAAATGTCCAAGAAAACTAACATTAATGCATGAGAGCAAATAAGTACATAATTAAATATTTTAAAGGGTATAATTGTCCAAACACTATTTATTAAAAAACTTGTACGTATAATGAGGGCATATAGGTGAATACATATTTTAAAGGGTATAATTGGCATTACATTATTCATAAGAATAATCTTGTACTTTTTATAAGGTAGGGAAACTCTATCTCTTGGAAGACAATTAGACAAGATAGTGTTTTTCGCAAAAGGAGGAAGTATGTTGTAATAAAGCTACGGAAAAAAATCACAAAAAAGTAAGGAGAAAAAGAAGATAGGGAGTTATTTTTTTAGTAAATTAAAAATTCATGAAAATCTCTTTAAAAGTCACCAATTGAGGCTAGGCTTTGAAAGAAAGTTTTTTTTTTTTTTTTGACCAAAAGAAAGAACAAATCAAAACGAGTAACTTTAGCAATATTTTAGGAAATTATATTGCTTCAACTAAACGAAAAATCCAAAAGCTTAGGTCTTGTTTGGCATCATTTTTGGTTTTTAGTTTCCTGTTTTTTGAAAACTAAAAGCCAAAAACAGGAAACAAGAAAAAGATGTTTCCACTTTTTTATTGTCAGTTTTCAAAATTATTATGATTTTAATAAGTTTAAATAGTTTTTTTATTCATTATGTGACATATATCATATATTTTTATACAACAAAAAACCAAAAAACAGAATACCACAACAATGTCAAACGAATCCTTATTCAATTTGACAAATTAAAACATTTTTAAATCGTTATTAACTTCCTTTAATAATACTCGCTTATTTTTGTGATTTTATAAAAATATTAAATTACAGTTTTATATTTCAAATTTTATTGTATCCTCTTTAAAAGTTTTGAGGATGACCCTTTTCCTAAAGATCGCATTAGAGTAAATGTGCTTGCTTTTGTAGGGTTTCACATTCATTTTCGCCCATAGAATACGTTAAAATGGTACAGAGTAATTTTTTTATACCACTACAAGAAAAATCTCTTTTCGTAGCGATTATTTCGTAGCGATTGTACATTCGCTACAATATGCAAATATGCTTGTGAAATAATTAAGGATGTCATATCATTTTTACAATCGCCACGGTTTTCCCATATAAAATTGATACGAAAAACATAATAATAAATATCCACACTATTTTTACACATTTATATAATTTTGAGAAATCGTATCATTTACAATCGCCACTAAATCCTAAATATCAATACGAAAAGCCTTTTCAACACTAGATATATAAATATTGTTTGACAAAGAGTGCATAAAATATGTCATAGCTTATTGGTGAAACATTTAATATAAGAGTTTGAGGTTGTATGTTCGAATCTTGTAAAGATCATACGCATTTTTTTTTTGAAGAAAATGAGTTAAACATTTATAGCGATTGTAATCGCTACAATAATCACCACGATTGGATGTAGTTTTTCGTATCGATTATTGAGGCCAACCCCAACGATATTGAAAACCACTACTAAAGGCTAAGACAACGGGGGATATTGTATCGAATGACCATTCGTTGAGAAAGCTTTTTGTTGCAATTACCATCGATACTAAAGGTTAAAATAATCGCTATGAAAAGGTTATTTTCTTGTAGTGTACATGCATATAAGCGGCAAACATTAGCTCGATTGTTTTCATTGTATCACATATAAATTTGGTAAGGTGAGTCAGGTAAAATACTTATACTTTTATATTAAAAGCGTTCCTAAGAATGTTTATGTATCATGTCATCCCCTTTTATGGGTTGCATTGTGCCCTATTATCTATCACTCAACAAGCGTTGAGGTTTCGAACATTAAACCTCAAGGAATTGAAACAAGATCAAGCTACTTAACATCTTAACCAATAACAAATCATGTCATCAATATAAATAAATGAGACTATAAATGACACGCACAAAATAAATAAAAAAAATAAAAAGAAAAACTAGATTTGCAACTTGGAAAAACAAATCAAGAGGATAAAATCAACAGTTTTCAAATATAGGGGAGATAAAAATTGTCTTTCTATGCTTTTTGTTAATTAGTAACATTTTTACTATGTATTTTGAATAATGTTTATTAATACCATTATGTTTAACATTACTCAAACAACCTATGTTTTATCAATATATAAAATATCAACACCACAATTATAATAGATAGTTGACAAATGCTAACCAAATGTTAGTTCAAAAGGATAGGACCTTATTCGCAAGCTATCTTGAATTATAAGCATCCGGTGCACCCCTAACCAGACTCAAGTTAAGTTCAATTTAACTCAAATTTTATGAACTCGAATAACTCACGAATTGTCTCGTCTCATAAATACCCTATATACGATACTCCCATCTGGTAGGGATGGCAGGTGGGTATTAAAATGTGATTCTCGCACCGCACCCGCCCCAGTTGGAGCGGGTATGGGTCCAACTTTGATGGGTAAGTAAATGGGTATGGATACAAAAGTCATACCCACCCGGGGTAGCGGGTAGGCGCGGTGAATTTGATGTCATACCCATCTATTATCCAAATACCCGCCCAACTATTTCGCTTACCTGCCAGTTACCCACCAACTTATTACTACTTTTTTTAATCATAAATTCATTACTACCTTGTATAATATGCTATTAAATTATGTTTTACAACAATTTATATAGGCAAAATGACATTTTATAGAAAAATTACAAACAAATATTGTTAAGTTGGCGGGTAAAAAGCGGATGGAGGATATCCACATGGGTGGTGGATCAGGTGTGGATCTAGGTTTCTACCCGCCTATGCAGGTACGGGTGTTAAAATTTTACCAACCACTAGTAGGTGTAAGGTATAAATAATTTTGGCGGGTGCGGGTATGGGAGAGGGGGTACCCGCACCCATACCGCCCAATTGTCATCCCTACCCTCTGGTTATCGAATACCAACAGACCCCCTCTCCCATACCCGCACGGCCGTACCGCCCAATTATCATCCCTAGACCCTACTCCGTGGTTACCAACAACAAAAATTAAAGGAAAAGCCGGTTCAAACACGGTCTAAAATCTAAACCAATAAAAAACCAAAATAAAAATTTCCCAAATTCATGGTTATGCCGTCGTACTTTCCCTCTTTCTCTCTCCTTTTCCACCCACCCAACTCCATTCTCTTAGCTTCTTAACTAATTTTTATCTAACAGATCTTTACCCACTTAATACTTTTATCTAATTCTCAATTTTCTGCTCTTATTTTTAATTTTTAACTATTATACAAAGTTATGAAATCAAGTAAAGGCAATTCTCCTGAAGATGATGAAGAATATGATGAAGATTTCACTTCTAAAAAAGAGGCCTCTTCCTCTAATAAAGGTGATCAATTTCTTCAATTTTTGTTGGTATTTTGTTTAATTCAATGTTTTTAAAATACCCATTTCAGAATTTTGTAGAAGTTGGTGAAATTTGTAATCTTTAGGTTAAGTTAGGGGGAATTTAATTTCTGAATTTATTTTGTGACTGCGCTTAATTTTAATTGTCTTTGAAATTTTGACTGTTTATTATGAAAATTAGATTCAAAGAACAATGATAAGGCAAGTGCAATGCGTTCGAAACACTCAGTCACTGAGCAGCGGCGTAGGAGCAAGATAAATGAGAGGCAGGTTTCTTCTAATTATGTCCTTTAATTACTTTTGGTTTATGGTAGCAAGATTATTTTGAATTTGTTATTAATAATTCAGGGTGATACTGTAATATACTATTGGAGTTTTAAGAATTCTTCTAATTCTGCCCTTTAATTACTCTTGGAGTATTAAGAATTAGTAAAGGGTTTTTGGTTATAGTGTATATGTAATTTGTTGATACGTGAACTTCAGGTGTCTGTGTGTCTTGAGGTAGCAATCGAGTTTGATTCGATAACATTTTAGTTTGAGTTGTTAGCATTTTTCATAAGAAGATTAATGTAGGTTTGTATTTGATTACATGTTGCTTTTGGTTTGGGGCGAGGTTTGGATACTTTCGTTGGTTTGGATCACGAGGCTTTGGTCATTTGTCGTGAGCCTTTAGTGAGGACTTTTGGCTTAGGTTTGTTGATGAGCTTCAATAAGGGTTAATTTCTCTTCTGTTTGCTTGTGTTTGGAAGGAACAATAAACTTCAGTTTTTACTTTTGTTATAAATATTCATCTTTGTGAATCGTATGTAGAGTTCTTTTTATGCTTTCTTGTTATTTACTATGTTCAACAATCATTTTCAGTGTGTGATTATTTTGGCTGAAAAAGAAAATTTGAAGGTGAGGATAGCAGATCAAATATCTGCTTGTCTCCTGATACTGTTAATCGTTATATGCTTCTGGTATTCATTACTTCAATTGAATATGCTTTAGGAGTCGGAGTTTATAGGATGCCGCATTGCTGGTTTTAGCTGTTAAAGAGTAGCCATGTTGAATTTATGAACCATTGTTTAGCTCTCCTCGCCTTTTGAATAGTGTTGGTAAGCCTTAAACTATTGAAATTGATCAACACAGAGATTGGAGTGAACAATGTGAAATTACAGTTTTCAAGTGAAGGTTAGAGTGCTTAATAAGATTTTTAGACTATGGTCAAATATGTGAGAATGATGGGAAACCTCTCTGAGCTTTGTCTAAGGTAGATGGATTCTTTCGAATACAAAGGATTTGATCTGGAAAAAGGGTAGCCCAAAAGGCAGCCTCAGACGAGCCTGAATAAGTGGGGTTTTGATATAGTTTCCTGACTTGTAGACTAAATTTACAAACCTAAGTGATTTGAAAATTAGCATTCAAGCCAACCATTTTGTGCTGTACTCTCATTGTTTTGGTACAGTAAATATTCATGGAAGCAATGTATAAGGTTTCTATTGACTTTGACTTATTGAGAAAAGTGTAGTTAATAGAAATAAGATACTATAGCTAAGTTATTTAGTAATTTTTGAACTAGTTCAAATTTTAACAATCTTAAGCAGAGAACTATTAGTATGTTATTTGATGGACCCTAATTGACTTTGATATAAAAATTAAACATTTGGTTCAAAATCAACATGTTCCGTTGGGAAAATTAAATGACCTAACAGCTTCACAACCCAAACTAGATTTGCAGTTTTGCCATTTTTTGTTAGATGACTTAGATCTATTCAAGATTAGCATGAAACTATCGGAAAAAAGATTTATTGAATGAGAGGGCTGGTTTGATTAGGATTACTGGGCTCTACAAACATCAATTCCTTTTGTTAGACTTCGTGTATTTCTTTGCAGTTTGCTGGTGATTAAAAGCTTATGATTGAGATAAAAAGAAGATCAAAGAAAAGAAAGGGAAAAAAGTACCCCGGTGAAAAATTTGATGTTTCGATAGTTCATCTAGGGATGAGTCTAAAGAACTTGGCTATAAAAGTTGAACCATCAAAGTAAACAAAAGTGAGGACAAGGGCTTTCCCACACTGGTTTTGCTCGAGAGAAAGAATGTATACTTCACTCTTTTATTGGGGAGAAAGGAGGGGGGATGAAGGGTGATTTGGAAATATTATAGGAAGCTCACCTGTCCATTGTCCTCAATGCATTTGGAGTAAGCTAAGAGCCGTACAATGAAATTTTATAATGCTGTGGATTTAGCTAAAGAATGAAAACTTTATGTAAGCATGTGGAGGAAAGATTTACCCTAATATATCATGCATAATGCACTAATCAAACTAGATGACTAAAATAAAACTTAAAGGATTACTGAAGCTCAAAAGTTCTTTCGTAATTTTTCTGGAACAGGAATAGTAGAGAGATATGTGGTGGAGTATTTGCTCAAAAGTGTTACTTTTTCCCCGAAAATATGCGTTGCTACAAATTTGTTGGCACACATATTAAGGAATAGGAGAGAGATAAGAGGGAGCACTTGATGAGGAATGAGATACAGAGGTATACCTAAAATGAGTATGTAGCCATAACTATGACACTTCCACAATAGGGATTTGTAACGATTTTTTGAGGAAGGAGGAGGTGTTAATTTTTTGCAGACTGCAGTTATGTGAAACCGCTGAAAATCCTAGTTTGGGGTAGATGAAATTACAAGAAAATTCTTTCATGTGAGGCACCATTTCCCAGTGACACCCTTCACTGTAAATGATTTTGGAACACCCAAAAGTGGTTCTTAACATATATAGATCGTTAACACTCTTCATCAGCATTTGTTAAAGTTTGATTAAAATTATTTTAGAAGGTGCTCACTGTAATTAAACTCCTAATAGTCCCTCGATTCCCTTCAAAAACCAAAATAGTAAGCTTTAATTGACATCTATGGACAAAATTGGGGAAGAAGAGGGGGGGGGGGGATTGGTGTTTATATTTTTACATAAGTTCTCCTAAATTGAGTTAATGGCGGAAGTGCAAGTTTTTCTGAGTATGCAAAAGGTTAATTTCGAGTTTTTCTGAGGATTTTCTTTTGAGATTTTTGCTTAGAAACCTTACTAGAAATGAACCCAAGGTAGTGGTGTTTTCTGATTAATTTACCTGAAGGAGAAGATAAGTGAGTAAGGAACTAGCTAATAGACTTTTAACAGGCTTGTCTGCACTTGAAAAACTATACATTTTTTACTTCTTCTTCCAAAGCTAGTTTAACTAACATTTGAGTTAAATGAGTGTAAATGAGTTAAGGGCTACTTAAAAGAGATTTTTTTTTAATTTTTAATTTTTAATTTTTTTTAATGTTTAATTTTTATTTTTTATAATCCCTAGTGTAACTAACATTTGATAGCAGTATAGTTAGTGCATGTACTACCATTGTGTTTTATTAACTTCTGTGCTCGGTGCTATCACAAAATTCTGCCAAATGAAGTTGGTCAGAGACTTACAAAGAGGGTGTGAAAGCTAGCTGCATCACTGTGTATAGGATATAAGAGCAACTCTATTAACTTCTAATGAAGAATTCATACATTCAAATCGGTCTAGATTTTGAATATGTCTTAGGATATGCTGTTGGGGGAAGTAATAAATGAGCAAGATAATTCTGGAGTCACTTAGATGCAGGTTGTTTACATAAAAGGAATGAAATGAATCAAGAAAGAAAAATTTGAAGATTTGTTTGGTCAGGGGAAGTGTTATACTTTTTATATGGTTGGATTAACTAATGGAATAATTTTTTGCTGTTTCCCTTACCTGCTACCAAAACCTCTGGCCAATCCAAAAAAAATGGAAAGAACTTCCACCACTACCACAGATGGACCTTATCACTGACAGCCTCTCATCTGGACTACCACTATAGTGCTAGTTTATTTTCGCAACTCACTGTTCAAAACTCTAAACGAGCCTTTTAGATGTCTAATTTACCACAGAGACACCAATTGTTGAAGCTAAATTCGTGCACCAGACTCAAAGCCTTGGTTTTAAAAAGCGCGCCTCGCTCCCACGCTCTGGAAATGGGCTTTAGCTAGGCGAGGCTAGTCACCTACGGAAGGCGTGCGCCTCAAAGCGCCTTTGCGCCTCAAGGATAATAACTAAGATTTAAGTTACAAATTAAGACTACCTTAGCTTATTTTTTAATTTATTATGAATCTTTTTAATTGGTATTAAGTACAATCAAAGTAAAATAATTTGAAATAAATATATACATGCGCCTTGCATACAAAAGGCATGCGCCTTCTCCTTGCGCCTCGTGCCTAGGTTGCAAGGACCATTTGCACCTTGGTGCGCCTTGCGCCTTTTAAAACTAAGCTCAAAGCTTGTCCAATTGTGGTGCTCTGCAACCTTTATTGTGTTACAAATTTAGACTTTTCTCTCTCTCTGTGACGTGATGTTATTGGTGATTACTTCTCGACTAGCGATCCGTGAAATGGTCTGTTAATTATTTATAGATATACTTATTGAAGCACTTTAAGGACATATGGAATAAAGAGATAAGCCTTGCTATCTTTCCTACTTTATGTCATTTTACATGCTTCATCCTAGCTTTTCCTCTAGAATGCTTTGAAAGTATGAGGAGATTAAGAGAATGTCACTTTAGCTAGGGTTGAAGGTTAATCTTACATTGGACATTGGATGAAATGTGGGAAGTTTTCCCTCAAAAGGCGCATCATATTGGATCACTGCAATACAAACACCTTTGTTTGTAGTTTTTCAAATAATTCTATTGGTGCTTTTCTATTGAAATTGCTTTTCTATATACTTGTTACTTTATCATACTCAATGGGATTCATTTGATTTCTCCCAAGCCTTCCGTAAAAGAAATAGTATAGGGAGCAAAACTTTCCCCTTCTTTCAACCAGCGAAAAAGTTGTGTAGGCAAACATGTGGGAGCTCTCTCTCTCTCTCTCTCTCTCTCTCTCTCTCTCTCTCTCTCTCTCTCTCTCTCTCTCTCTCTCTGGGGAGGGGGATCAACCTTTCAATGTGAACAAGAGATATTATAATGGAAATGAGGGATCCTTATAGAACTTTGGGCAAAGAGGCAGTGGTTTATATTATATTTAAAAGATGAAAGGAGCATTTTATAGGGAGCTCACCTGTCTAGTGTCCTCTAATGCCTTTGGATGCACTATGAAACTTTCTAAAGCTGAGGATTTAGCTAAGAAGTGGAAACTTTCCAGAAGCATGTGCTAGAAAGCTTTACCCTGATATATCTTGCATTATGCACCAATCAAACTAGATGACTAAAACCAAAGCGTAATATATGCTTATTGGCGAAGAATTACTGATGCTCAAAAGTTCTTTAGCAATAGTTCTGGAATAGGAGAGAGATTTTTGGTGGAGTATCTGCTCAAAAGTGTTACATTTCCCTAAAATCCACATTGTTACATATTCGGTGGCACACGTATTAAGGAATAAGAGAGAGATAAGATGGAGCACTTGACGAGGAATGAGATAGTGAGAACATTATACCTATGTTACTTGGACTCTTTCATTTACCTCACGTGTCCGTGTCGGCACGACACGTGTCGGACACCGACACCGACACTTGGACACTTCATTTTTAACTAAAAACACAATTTTTTCCAAGAAAATGGACGAGTCCGATTCATCCGAATCCAAGTAACATAGCATTATACCAAAAAAGGGGGGTAGTAGCAATTACTTTCCAGTTTCCACAATAGGGATCTGTAACACTTTTTTGAGAAAGGAGGAGGTATTGCAGACTGCAGTTATGTGTAATCGCTGAAACTCTTAGTTTGGGGTAGATCTTGGATTTCCTAGACGAAAAGAAAGGATATTCAAGAAAACTCCTTTAAGTGAGACACCGAATCCTAGTGCACCCTTTACTGTAAATGATTTTGGATCACCAGAAAGTGGTTCTTTAAATTCATAGATCGCTAACATTTTCCATCAGCATTTGTTAAAGTTTGATTACAATTATTTTATTTCTAGTAGAAGATCCTCACTGTAGTTTAAACAGCAAATAGTCCCCCCAATTCCCTTCATAAACAAATAGAGTAAGCTTTAATTGACATTTATGGACAAAATGGGGAAGAGAGAGGGGGGAGGGGGGGATTGCTTTTTAAACTTTTACAAAAGTTCTCCTAATTTTAGTTAATGACGGATGTGTTAGGTAGATTTTCTGAGTATAAGAAAGGCCAATTTTGAGATTTTACTGAGAATTTTCTTTTAAGGATTTTGCTTGGGAACGTTACTGAAATTGAACCCCAGGTGTGGTGTTTTCTGATAAATTAACCTAAAAGAGAAGATAAGTAAGGAACAAGCTAATTGAGTTTTTACAGGCTTGTCTGCACTTGTAAACCTATACCTTTTTACATCTGTCAGAAGCTCAAAACTAGTTAAGTGGATATATAAAAGACAATATATCCAACGAGGTAGAAACTAGAAGTGGGAATATTTTAGGAAAATGATTAATGGTGAAGTCCTGGTGATTAAACAAAAGGTTTATGGGTATTGAGGAATAGGAAAAGAAACAAGCTAAAAATTTAAAAGTTGCCTATTCTTTCTTTATTGACAAGTACAGTTATCCTGTCTCTGATCAGATGTATTCATGTCAGAAAAAGGTTGTTAATATTGGTTCAGTTGAAGAAGCAGGATGCACAGTACTTACTCTGGCAGCTTTTTCTGGAGCTTATAGGAGTGATATAAGCTTGTTGTTTATACTGAGGAGCCTTTTTATTTAATCTTTGAACCTTTGTATACAAGAGATCAATGCTAATGAGTTTTAAAATGGAAGGTTGATCTGAAGTCTCTGTCTGGCTTGGGAGTTATACTGTATATTCTCGAATTCTCGAATTTCATCATAATCCCATTTAACCGATACTAGATTGGCATATACTGTGATTTTGTTTGATTAGTATGCTCTCTAAATTGAAGAGATGTAGTTTTATGTTTTTTTTTTTTTTTTAAAAAAAATGGTTTTCATATGCTTATGAACTTGTTGGCATATAGCAGATTTGTTAACTTCAAAAAATGTTCATACAAAGCTGGAAGTATGGGGCTATTTCAGCTCTACTAAACCTGGTGCTCTTCTATTGGTGCTGCTGGTTTTGTATGTAAGTGTTATGAGTTAAGGTCTAGTTAATGGAGAAAAGAAATTATTTATAATCCTAGTGTAACTAACATTTGATAGCAGTATAGTTACTGCATATACTACCACTGTTTTGTCAACTGCTGTGCTAGGTAGTCGGTGCTATTACAAAATTATGCCAATAAGTGTTTTTTTTTAGGAAAATGCCAAATGAAATTGGTCATTACGTGCAAAATTTTTGGAAAATGCTTTGATTGTTTTTTTTTTTTTAAAGTTTGTATTTTTACGTCATAGGTTGAAATCATCAAGAAACTAATGCAATGTGATATTGTCACTTACAGATTTCAGATATTAAGAGATTTGATACCTCATGGTGATCAGAAAAGAGATACTGCATCTTTTTTATTGGAGGTACAGGATTTGATTCGTCAATTGTGCTTTCTTACTAAAAAGTAATCCCCCTGCATTTGTGACCTTTGCTTTTCCTATTTTTGTCTTTAAAAAACCTTCAGGTAATAGAGTATGTTCAGCTCTTGCAAGAAAAAGTGCAGAAGTACGAGGGGCCATATCAAGGGTGGAGCACAGAACCCACAAAACTGATGCCTTGGGTAGGTTTTAGTGCTGTTTATTTGTTTTATGTCCATTTTTATGATCCTTTCTATGACTATGAAGCTTTGCTACTTCAAACTTACATCAGGGAAACATGTATTTCTAATGCTACTTATAGCTTTAAAATTTGCCATCATTTAGAAGATATCGTTTTGTAACAATCTTATTGCGTTTGAATGTTATCTATAACTTCCTCCATTACACAATTGTTGCATCATATTGACTTTTTACTCTATTCCCATATCAACTTTAACCATGTATAATTACTAATATAGTAAAATGTAGCAATAAATATCATTATTATAGTTGTTGTTGGGTTGATCACAATATATGCTGTAAAATATTTTTTTTTTATGATTTTTATTGATATGTAATAAAAGATATTAAGGACAAAGCTGTGCATTGGCAAGTTTTGATGGTCAAAATTGGCAACTATCGCAAAACTGAGGAAGTGTAAGGTATTTGAGATGCATTATTGATTTTGGTTGAATCGGTTAAAGTATGCCAAGATGTTCTTCCAGTGATAAATATTATGAATAGATCTCAGTCAATTCTAACAAGGGACCGATTGTAACAAATGCATCTGTTATTACATACAGTATCTTTTATTGTGCCTTTTTCTGGTAGGATGTTGGATCTTTCTCGATTCCTAGCTGGGGATCTGCAGCTTATATGCATTAAGTAGTTTCATGCTTGAATTCCTTGTTGTATCGGTGATTCACATGGGAAATGACTAATGAGTTCCTCATATCCAATCTTTTATTATTATTTTACATAATTATTTATTTATTGTGGTTCAAACAGTCAACCCCGACCATTGCTAGAAGCCTGGAACATATATAGCATTTTTGAATTGTGTAATAGATTTTTAAAACTTAAAAGTTAAATCATAAACCATGTCTTTTTCAAGATTAAGTGAGCTGTTGAGTCATGATGATTTTGTTCCAATTTTATGCAATGATAATTGCTATTATTTTCTGTAAGTGATAGGACTAGGTTAGATACCGATATTTTTGTTCTTATGTAACTTATGGAAAGTTTTATCTTTAAACAGAGACACAGTCATTGGCGAGTTCAGAGTTTTCTTGGGCATCCTCAAGCTGTAAAGAATGGTCCTGGCTCTGCATCAACGTTTTCAGGGAAGTTTGATGAGAGAAGCTTCAACTCAAATCCTAGTGTGACCGCCAATGCACAGAATCCAGTGGATGCAGATTCTGGCCATGAAGCCTATAGAGCTTTGGATCAGCAGTCTGAGTTGGTTGAAAAGACTGCACCTTTGCCCACACCTTTTTCATTGCACATGCCAACTGTTGTTCAAAGTGATGGGGATGATTCCCATCTTTCCCAAAGACCAGCTTCTGATGGGCTAGCAGCCCCCTGTCCCAATAACTGTGATGATCAACAGGGGGAGCATACAATCGAAGGAGGCACTATTAATATCTCAAATTCTTATTCGCATGGGTAGGTACTACAAGACTAATCAACTTACCTTTAAAATTAGGAGTCATTATTTATGGATTATAATTATGTCTATTTAGGGTCTTGAGGATGTTCAGGAAATTGAGCCCCATTGGCTTTTATCTTTGATAATAGTTGCTTATCTCCTTGTATGTGGTTAGTGGTTTCTGTCTTCTCATTGTTTTAGTGACTTTTTCAATTGATCTTGCTGACCACCCTCCTCCCTGTAGTCTTAACCTTTTTCAATTGTTCTTCATTTTTATACTGCTTTTCTTGCATTGTTTGATTTTGCCTCTTTTGCACCTAAGACGCTGAATGGCTTTCGTTTTTATAGCAAAAAGTTTTCTATTTAGGGCTTATTCTCATACGATTATTTTCAGTTCAATTCAGTTTAGCTCAGCTCAGCTCTAATAAAGTTCAGTTCAGCTCCTAATTTTCTTCTCTTATAAAATATTCACTTCAGTTCAGCTCAGCTTAGCTCTAATAAGTTCAGTTCAGTTCAGCTCATTTCAGTCAATGAGAACAAGCCCTTGGAAGGATTGAAAAGTAATACTACCTCCGGTTCAAATTACTTGCAACAAAGGAATATTTTATGTCTCACAAATAATACCCCTTTGTTGCGAGTAATAAGAACCGGAGGTAGTATAAACGGAAGAAGTTTCCCCTAGTCATCAACCTGTGCTTATGTATTCTTCATTTACTTTTCTATTTTGAACTGTGATCAAGACTGTTGCATTTGGTAGGATTATTTCCTTCCATTTTTGTGAGATATTAAAGTATTAAAGTGAATGTATGGATTTAGCTGCTAACAAAAGGGTGTGCATTGGTACAGACTGTTGATGACATTAACACAAGCATTGCAAAGTTCAGGAGTGGATCTGTCTCAGGCTAATATTTCCATACGAATTGATCTTGGGAAGCGAGCTAACCAGAGTCAAACTCCCGGGTTATCTGGTGCTAAGGTATTTTGAGCCTCATCTACTCTGTATACTTGGTCAAAACTTGAGGGACGCATATTTTCTTTTAGATCAGAAGAGATTATTAAAACAAAAGTACAGTGTATCTTCAAAGATAAATCGATAATCAAGGTATGCATGATCTAATAGTTTTGTTAAATTGTTGTAATTTTCTGCTTTGGGGCCAGGATTTGGAGATTTCAGCTTCCCATGATCTTAACATGGGACATGCTGGGGGCGAAAGTAGCATGGAGAACTTGGAGCAACCCCAAAAGAAATTGAAATCATAATGTCTGATATGTTGCGATTTAGGTGTTCTTTCCCCCAAGATCTATTCGGTCGTTCCTTCCTTGCCCTCTCTCACACAAAATTCATCTATTTGTATATGCTGTACCTGTCATCGGTGTTTTCTATTACCGATTTTCGGAGTATTTATATAGAAGGAAGTTGTTTTACCACAGCTTGGACAAGGTTAAGATTTGATTCTCTTGAGGAAGACATCTTGTAGATTCTTGAAACCATTTAGTGTGATTGGCTGTAATTAATATACATAAATTTTAGTTAGTCTTTAATTTGGGTATGCTCATTGTCATTATTTGTCTCTCCTCCTAATTTGTTATGGAGAGCAAATGTGGAATCAGACAGAAGTTGATTTGTCAGAGATGTTGAATATTGGCCATATTTCTGCAACTCTTTGTTTTGGTTTTCCTTATTATAAATTTTGGTTGAGTGAGGATTTGCTGCTGTTTTTGGTGTGCTCATTCAAACACTCTTGACATTCCATATTTCGTTCATTCCAGCAACCAACTTCATGTTAAGTATGAGGGTGATAAGTCGTGTTCCGTCGGTGACTTATTTCGGACAAAATAAGTTACTTTTAGATAATATCATATGCACTAGAAAACTTAAACAAAACCATGGTATAGTACTCCCTTCGTCCCTAAGGTTGCATTATTTTGGCTGCTAATTATCAACTCAAATTCTCAAACAGTGAATATAAACATTGTTACACTTACTCACTAGCTAGATGGTTAATTATGCAACTTCCCACTTTGACTTGTGGAAATGGTTCCACAAGTCCCATCTCAATTGATTTACCCAATTACTTTATTAACCTTTTTTTTATTTATTTTTATTCATGCATATATCAAATGAAGAAGATTGATCTATACAACTCAAACCTACTTTATAAGAAGCTTGTTAATGTAAATCGAATGTTAGTAACACATTAACACGGATTGACAATAGATTTTGTCACACGCCTTTAACTTTTGTAAGGAGTACCAAATTAGAAGAGATAAATGCTTATATATAAATATGCAATTGTAAACACACTAAAAAAAACATATTGTGGACAAATCTCTTGAAATAGATCGATTTTAACCATATAAACTTCGAGATTTTAACCAACTAAGGACTTGTTCTTTACATCTTAATTTATGTTCAGTTCCTACTTCTATCATAAATAATTCAATTCAATTCATCTCAGCTCAGCTCAATTAAGTTCAGTTCAGTAAATGAGAATAGACCCTAAAACGAATCATATCCGTGAAAAAAAAAAATGAAAAACTGGAGGCATGGCGGGGGCAAATCTGCCTGATGCTTAACCGGCCTCGCCCACGGAAAAGGGTGTCTGACATTATTGACTTTGGCATTGTATGAAGCAAATGTAGCTATGTATATGTTCTTACACTATGGTTTTATTCATTCTTTTATTATTACAATACATTCTACACTATTAATATTTCGCTATCATAAAATTGTACAAATCCCAATAGAAAATATTTCTATTGAATTAACTTTAGGAACAATGATCCTTAAATTTTCTACTTGAAAAATACAACTGACCTATGACGTGTAGGAAATGATTGATTCTATAAAATTTGTCTATTTTAAATCATTGTCTTGGTACACTGAATTTTCTCTGAAATCAATCAACTGGATTCTCTTTTGATTTTTTTTTTGTAAAGCTTAAGGAATTGGTACTAGTACTTTTTTTTTTTTTTTTAAGAAAAGGGTGCAAGTACTCTGTATTAAACTTGTTAAGTATACTTATAGTTGTATATAACTGTATAAGGAGTACTTATTAGGATAATGTTATGTATACCCCTTAAGGTTATAAATAAACATTTAATATCTCTTGTAATTTGGTTTTCCGTATAAATTTAGAAACTAGGTTAGTCTCATGTGATGCACAATTTTAACAATAATTTTTTTAGCCTATTTGTGTAATGCGTAGTATAAATAATTTAAATAAAATATAATAAATTAATGAAGAGTGGAATTCATATGATTTATATAAATAGGAGGAAAGATAATTGTTATACGAAAAATAAAATAGTCTAACCACTCTATGAAATATCTTTTAGGAAAATATATAATTACTTCATCATTTAAAAAATAAAGAATGATTTTATTAAGGAAAATGTTATACATAGTGTTTCGGGTCTTTTTTGGATTTCCTGGGATACTGGTCACGCTCTGCTGGCAATGAGTCGGCCCCACCTGCAAAACAACTAATATTCCGGCCAACGGAATATTCGCCTCCGACGATCAAGTCAGTGATCAGAACGGAAAAAGGCTAGAGAGAGAAAGTAGAGAGAAATTGGAGCTATTTAATGCTCTGTGTTTTTAATTGTCTGAAAAATCCCCCCCATCATAAATGATTGGGGTATTTATAGGGGTGGGACTCGTGCCCCTCTCTAGGGTTTATACCCTAGATTTGCGTGACGTGATTGGCTGCGCAATCAGCGAATGGCACGTGCCACTCTGGGAGCGCCGTTTTGCGGTTTTCAGTATCATCTCTCGGGATTTGGGCCCTGACGTTGTTAGAGATTTTTGGCGTGCTGATTTTTAGAAGGATCATATTGCCTAAACACATGGCATCTTCCCGTGGTGACACGTGTCACCCTATAACTGGGTCACGTGTCACTATGGGATTGGCTTGAGACCTTAAGAACTCTGGATTGCGTGACATCTTCCCGTGGTGACACGTGTCACCCTATAACTGGGCCACGCGTCACTATGGGATTGGTCCACGTATACGAGGTATTTTTACCCTCAACACATAACCCTTAGGGCTACATATAAGCATTTAATTTACTCTTGAAAATTGTTAAAAATTTAGAAATTCATGACAAAAATACACTAATTACACCGATTTGCGCGTGTTTTTGTCATGAATTCCTAACTTTATACATTTTTCTAGAGTAAATTTAATGCTTAAGTATAGCCCTAAGGGCTATGTATAGCATTACCCTTTTATTAATTATTTTTGCAGGAAAATTTTTTACAAGAGGTTGACACATGGATAGTAACGATGTTTAATTATATTTATTTATAGATGTATGGCAAAATCACATGCAAATCAGTGTAATTAATGTTATATTTTTATTTTTTACGGAGTACATTTAAAGATTTTTTTTTTTTTTTTTTTTTTTTTTTTTTTTTTTTTTGTTTTGAGGAAGAGTACATTTGAAGCTTTTTATGCATAGGCATGTAGCCCTTGTGGCAATTAGCATTTTCCTACAAAGTATTTTATACGAGTATCATCAAATCTAATGTGCAAATAAGTGCAACTGTATGCATATAAAATTTGGCTTAAATTTTTTTCTCCTCGGAGTAATAAGATAATTTGTGATATTGTTTCAAACAAGCTAAAACTTGGACTTATAGCCCTTAAATTAGCCCCATTACTTGTAGTCACTTTGATTTGGGTCATATTTAGGATGTGTTCAATTCACTTAATTTTCATTTACTTCACCTAAATTAAACTTATTTGAACTAATTAAAACTAAATTTTAGTTGTAATATATAGTTCATCTGTTCTTTTTTAGTTGACTCGGTTCGATTTTTACACTATTCACAAATTACACTTTGACTAGCTTTTGTGATATATAGCTATAGTAAAATATAGTCACGTGTGTCTCAAAAAAAAAATATATAGTCACGTAAGATCTTAATTGAATCGTCTTAATGTACATTTTACTAAAATCGTAGTTTTATAAACTTATAATGTTGATAATTAGAGATATAGATCGTTGTTACTGTGCATTGGCAAGCATGATAAAGTAAATGTGTCAACTAAAAAAGAACAAAGGAAGTATTTTGGTACCCTTATCAGAACTTATTTTTCTAGAATTTATCTTATCTGAAATTATTAGATCGAAATAAATGAACATAAGGTGAACAAAACATGCACTTACTTACCTAATCTTATCTGCACTTTTAAAACCTTAATTATTACTACCTTCGATCATATTATATGCAACTTTGGAATTTTTTATATCTCACAACTAATACCCCAAAATTGCATATAATATGATCTAGAGGATGTATAAATTATTTTAGTTGTAATTTGAATTTAGGTAACACTTATCAAAACTTATCTTATCTTATTTGATACGAGTATTATTCACATATATCTTCCTTTAAGTGATAAACTTTTTTCTAGTCCATGGTTTCATAATTCAATTACTTTTTCAATGATGATCAGTTCATGAAGTTATTATAAATTTATTTTTATTTTTTTTACCTAAAATTTCAATAGAAATCAAATCTACATATTCAATACAAATTTCAGCTTTAAGGACCAATAGTTTTCTCCCACACCATAACACAATCTTGATCATACTTTACCATCAATAACAAATATTTTTACCAATCCATAACAAACAATTGTTGTAGTGAAATAAGACAATATTGTGGAACGATTTCCAAATCTTCAATCTTGTAGACCACAAAATAATAAACAACTAGATTAGCCCCGTGCGATGCACCGTTTTAACAAATAAAATTGTACTATGTAGTGTTGAACTCGCATATACACTCGCAGCGCATATAATCTACAAATAATCTTCTCGAGTGAGGCGTTTGATAACTAATTAATACATTATTGTACTTAAAATAGTACTTTGTATTAAGTTTGTAATGCGTGACAAAATCACACATCAATCGGATAATTAATGTTAATTTTACTTTAATATTTTCACATTTTTGCTTTAGATAAAATCATAAGCCTATGTTGTTAAGTGATATATTACTAATGATACAATCAATTGTACACTTTCAAAAATAATAAAAATACATATAAAAATAAATAAAAACAAACTCTTTCAATATAATTGACTTGTAGTGGCCAACTTAAAATCAAATAAAACAACATCCAAATTATCAAATACAGAGAAATACTACAAAGTTAAATTTATCAATCTTTGAAAGAAAAAAAAGGTATCATCAACAACAAGTTCAATAGTATGTCAAAATATTAAGGTGGATGATTTAAAAAAAAAAACACACACACACAGCAATATGATTAATCATTATTTAAAAGCAAATGTAACCAATCATTAATATGAATTCGAAGTAGAAAAACAAATATCCGTTAATATCCCTACCTTTTAGGAAAATAGTAGTCAATTTATTTTATTACTTGTAATTTTTAAATTATTGATTTATGTAAAATATATAGTAACTTGGGATAAATACAAAAACATCTATACCAATTCAAATCCCATTATTTTAGGAAATAATAGTTTACTGCTGTAACTTTAAATGATAATTTTATTTTATGTTTCTAAAATAAGCCATACAATTGGGCGGGAAAATTTTTCATAAGAAGTCGACACGTGTACAGTTTTGGGGGAAAAATGACGTCAATGGTTGCTACTTTAGTTTATTTACTAGATTAGTCCCGTGCGATGCACAGATTTTTTTTAAATATAGAGTATATATTTTATGTATTC